ATTTAGCCGACCTCGAAGTAGGACTTCGATATCGGTGATAAACTGAGTACAGGAGGGTAAAGAATGACCCGCCAGAACCAAATGTTTTATATTTTTGAACCAACATTCTACAGGAGCATTCGATTCTCTGATAATGCCAAAATGACGTAAAATCAAGGCAGAAAGCATCAATAATCAATATTCAATAAATTCGGGCAAATAATAAGGATTATCTACATCATCTGTTCCAGTATTTTCATTCATAGCTGTCTTACAGTAGGTGGCTTTGAAACGACGATAAAAAGGCGAACCGTATCGAAGTGTCTCTCCTGTTATCTCGTCGTAATTTGTATTATTTTTGAGTTTATCTATTTTTGATATTAATTCATCGTCTTCTGGGTCATCATCATCGTCTCCATTAATGTCAGTATCTTGATGACTAATTTCTTCTACCAAGGTGCATAACTGCGATTTAAATTTTCTGCTTGTGAAAATTTGAATGCCTTTTCTGAAAATGTTGTCGGCTTCATCTAGAGATTGTGTATGCATCATTTTACTCAGAAATTTCTTTCCGGTTTTTCGGATATCTTTCTTATTCGACATCGTCCGAGTGAGTTTGTACAATTTGTTTTTGGCAGCCTTGAGTGCATGACTGGGACATACGTCTGACACAAGTTTATCAGGATTCACATCTTGATCATCCTTACGGGCTTCTTCAAAATTCCATGCCCATTGAAGATACTGTGAAAGAGTGCACTCATTGAAAGCTTTCTGTACTGAATTTAGCAAACACAAGCTGAAATCAGTCTAAATTTTTGTGATTACTTTTTTGATGACGGTGCATGCACGAATGCCCAGATTAATGGACATCAAGAATTCAGTAACTTTCTCAATGGTATGATCGTTCGAAATGCCCTCGCCTATTGGCAACTGACTGCATCCATTCTGGGCCCGTAGAATTACGGCATAATACATGACTTGTTTTTCCCCAATATCTATATATTTGCTAATGTTACCCGTAGAATCGAGATATAAAAACATCGGTTGAATTTTGGACAAATTGATCAAATAGTCCAACTGTTCTGCAGTATACATCACTATTTTAAACGGAACCATAGCGAGTTTTTGAATGTATCTTGGTTTTTTGTTATTCGGCCATAATTCAATCTGTTTGGCCCTTAATTTTTCCAAACATTTGAAAAAATCAGGATCTAAAATTTTGCTAGTGTTGGTTTCACTTTCAATTTTTTGTTTTCGCTATCCAAGAAGAGGAAGAATGTGCAGCAGGCTGCAGACTCAGAAACCTAACCTCGCTAAATTCTACAAAACCAACTAATGAAGGAAATGTAATCCGTAACAGTCACTTGAGTAAACTTTATTTTCATATTTATCTGAGATTCTGAACGATCCAAAAACATAAGATGCCGCTTGATACATCAAATTCACGGAAAACTGCTTAATATGTAATTTGCATGATCTACATATAATAGACGGGAGTATATCACTAACAATATTCACTTGACATTAAATTTGGATATAAGTGCACTGTCACACATTAAATACATGAAGGAAACAGCCCATCGTACTATTCCGGAAGACGTTCGTGCTCTGGGTGATACGCACAAAGCAACTGAAATATTTTTTCAAGAGATCGGGCGAAAACTATTTTTTAAAAACGCGTGAAGAATCCCCGGAAAGGGGGGTGAGGTTTCATCGAGCCTGGTACTTAGAAAGAAAAACAAAACCATTGTAATGCGCGCAGAATGTGGAAGAACCGAGTGACATAAGTCGTAAACATCCTTCGATTGTTTTCAAAACACTGGTTAGCTGTGTACGTTAAAGAGGGAAAGTGCCGACAACAAACTTTCGGGGAAACATTATTATTATCCTCCTTCACTCCGTCAGGCAACCCTGTCGGAAATTGTTTTTATCAATATTTTTTTTCCTGACATTCCTTGAACTTCCAAGATGCCTTTAAAATCAAAAATTTGCGATCTCGCCCTTAATTATCATTTCTTCCCATTTCTTAAATAATTTTTTCGACAGAATTTAACAGATATTCCCCTTCCCACTCACAGAAAACCCTGTAGGAAATGGTTTTTAATGACTTTCTTTTTTTCCTGATATTCCTCGAACTTTGAATATCCTTTTGCAATGCAAATGTTTCAATTTCGTCTATCGGAAACATTAATTTTTCATTTTTTTTTCACCGTCTTCTAAGAGAATGTCCGCAGCAGTTTGGTCCTCCTCTTTTGTCGGTCTGGAATTTTTTTGATGAATGTATCGATTTTGAGTTTCATTAACTTGACGTATATTTAAATAATTTTGAATAGTTGCTATCGTTATCGTTGAGGGCATAACCATAATATAAATGTTAGATGTAATCATGCAGCTATCCTTACCGCGAACCTTCAGAAGCTAGTGTGTAAGGAACGAAAATAATAAGAATAATAAAACGAATAAATAAATAAATAAACTGAATAAAAATATCAGAAATAAGTTTGAAATTTGATTAGCACTAAAACACCAGGAAAATAACGTGAATAATAAATTCACTAATGCGCACTACAGGAAGCCAATCGTTCGAACTACGCGCGGCACTCGTGGTTCACGGAACTCCACTAGATGGCCAAAGATTACCGCAAGGGAAATCTCAAATCAAAGGTATGAAGAAACCGCCCGCGGCGCAGTCATTTAGCTAGCTCGCTCGATCTCAGTGTACAACCCAAAGAGGATTGACTAAAGTAGAGACTCAGTTCTGGGGGTTTGAGTGACGCCTTCGGCATCGTAGTACCTCACCCCAAGAGAGAGGGCGCCACACACAATGCTGGGGTGTCTGCCCATCAGTAGCCTCAGTAGCAGTTCCGCTGTCAGAAGGACCAGTCAACGGGGTCAAGGTTATTTTCTGCGTTGTAATAAAAAAACAAAAATCAATATCGTAACGCAAAAAATAACATTCACCCCGTCGACTGGTCCTTCTGACATTAGTGGAACATGAAAATCGAGGAGGTATTCACTGAAATTGCAAGATTCGAAATTTTCGAAAAAGTATCAGGGGAGCATGAAAATGGAGGAGGCATTCACTGAAATGTGAAAATTCGAAATTTTATAGTAAAAAAACAAAAACCAATTTGGTAGTGCAGAAAATAACATTCACCCCGTCGACTGGTCCCTCTGACAGCGGGACTGCTACTGAGGCAGTTACCGAGTCGGCTGACGGGCAGACACCCCAGATTGCGTGTGGCGCCCTCTCTCTTGGGGTGAGGTACTACGATGCCGATGGGGTCACTCAAACCCCCAGAACTGAGTCTCTACTTTAGTCAATCCTCTTTGGTACAACCAGTGCACTTCGAACAGCCTTGGTTTCCGTGGCGAAACTTTTTGGACGCGATAGTGAGTAGCATTTGTTATAGTTCATTCTCGCATTTGAGCACTCCATTCAAGTTGCTAATTTGAATGGAAAATGTCGGTATTGGCTATATTAGAGTCAGTTGCAAGCAACCTGTTGGTTGTAGTAGAATCATAATTTTGCAAGCAACCTGCTGGTTGCAGTAGAGTGCGAAGTAATCCGGAATACTCGAAATTAGCTGCAATACAGGGGTGGGGAGAATACTTACTTATGATCTACTTTAGGAAATATCATATGGGAGAAACGGGTAATAAATTCCGACAATCAGTCCCAGCCCGTAATGGAGAAATGTTTATTGTTGTCAAAGAGTTAGATTGTTGATAATTTATTTAATAATCATATTATTAATGTTTAATTTGATCCTGATATGTGGCAAATTATTTATGTATGTCTTGATAATAAAGATTGCAGTGGATTGGAGCAATCTCAGGAATGATGGTAGTGTCTGAAATGTCCAGACCAATTCTGAGGAATTCTTCTTTCTCTAATTAAGAAATCAGTAACAGTCATAATGAAATAATAATTAAGGTAATTAATCAGAAAACCTCGAAACCAAGGCAAAATCCCAGATATAAGAAACTAGAAATGAATTAGAACAGATAATTAAGAAAACCTTCGCAAAACCCGCAATATCCAAATAAAGATCTATTCTGGGCGGTTCATACATGCTCTGATTGTCGGGAGAAAAACCTGCGGTCCCGAATTTATCCTGTCATAGGAATGGAATCTTTTGGATACCGGAGAACAGTTAAAACCTCGATAGTGAGTTAACAGTTAAACCTCGAAAGAACAGTTAAACAACTAAAAACCTCGATACAAATACCGATAAACAGAACCTTGAGTTTTAAGGAAACCAGAAATTCAGATTTTACGGATTAAGAGTATACTGATAATGAATCGAGTAAGTCTCATCAATCGACCCTGGACAACTGAAGCATTCAGCAAATAAGCAACATCTTTCGATTAATATTTTAAATTAAACATTTGAGAAAAGATTCATTACAAATGTCTCGGGAACGTGATGACTACGGATAGGACTACAATGGCACTTCCGCAAGAGATCACGACCAACCTTGGAAATGGAAGAACCCAGTCAGAGAACGATGCGAAGTGGGCGCCGTCCAAGGGTCTGGTATAAGGAAAGCTCAGGATGAATGACCGAGCGAGAGCGGGGGTTTGGTCCGAGGGACCTTCAACTAGAAAAGCCGTTGGGCAAGGATATACAAGAGATGAAAAATTTTTTTTCATATGACTCGGTTAACGACCGTGGTTGTCACAAAATTAAGAAGAATTTAAAACAACTGTTTCGCGCACGTTAATAAGTAACCTCGCCAAGTACGCACGGGTCGTGGTCCTTCCGTAGGATCAAAGCGTGCCGTCATCGTACCTACGAAATGGACCCAACCCGAAGGTCCTTATCGTTCGGCGCCCGTACCTGCAACGTGGCCCAACAATATATACAGTGACAATAAATTGGCATTCGATTTCGACTAGACTAATGGTGATTGTTTTCATCATTGGGTATTTTTTTAAGAAGTTCAACGTTTCTTAAGCATTGAAGTATTTTTTGTTCATCAGTGCAATTAGAAAAATCGCAATGGTAATCACTCACCGTAAGAATCCTTTATTATCCTCATGCTCAGCTAACGTTTTGATACTCGCCATGAGGAGATCGTCGTATCCAAGGAGTTCATCCAGAATCAATCTGGAAAAGGCATCTCCAAAGCACTTGTCATTCAGTGGATCCAGTGTAACTATTTTCACAGGTATGTTGAGCTTTTGACGAATCGCCGGAGATAAGCGGAGGAAACCGTATTCGAGAGAATATTCCACAATATATTCATCTTCTGGAAAAACTAGTTCAGATTGGAAAATGCGTTAGTACTATGAAATTCATTGAGTCATACATCGTTATCCTTTAATAATTTAATCCTAGATTGGTCACCCCATGGGCTCCAATGATTCTGTGTAGTAAATCCAATCCAATTGCAACGTTATTGCTAATCGATTCATACGCGCTTTATTCTTTATTCATACTACTTATAGTGTAACTAGTTCAGGATTAAATTAGACTGTCATGAATGTGGCATAAATCCCTCCTTGCTATTTGATTTCGAAGGAAAGAATCACAAGTGGCATATAGTTTATGATATTATATGGTATGGAAATTTTTGCTAACGAACTCAGAATATGATTACGAATGCTTTTGAATCTCGTATAATATTAAAAAAGTACTTGTACAGGTGAAAAAAATATATTATATTAAAAATTACACATATTAAAAATTATTTAAATGAAAAAAAAAATCAAAATTGGAATGCAATGAGAATATTTGGAAAGCAATTTATTTGAAGCGTCAGCCTGACGTACAGAAAACCGTGAGTTTGATTCGCCGGAACTATTCCTGGCGTTTTTAATTTCTCGGTTCATTGTTGAGCAGGAATCTCATATGAAAAAAGAGTAAGAGATGACTGCACCTGCTAAAAGGATTTCCTCTCAGGTGAGTCTTTCCTTGGTATATAGCGAATGCAGTAGGGGTGGGGGGGGGTCGTAATGGCTTATTCATAAAACCCGAACTTACAGTACCCCGCAAAACTCCTTTGCGCAAAAAAACTTGACCTAAAATGTTGCATGTAATTTCGTGCCTCATTTGGCCGTATGTAGGACTAATTTTTATTGAAAGTTTCGTGGCGTGCAGCTAATTATTATTTTTTGGTGTTAATTACGAGTTTTGGAGGATTCTTTGTGTGCCGAGGAGTTAGCGAGAAGGCTGAGAAACCTTTAGAGACCAGGGAGGAGAGAAAGAGTTGGAGAGTTTGCTAAGATACAGCTTGGAGACAAGAAGGAAGATTTGGGTTGAGCATTACCATGCATTCTCGCGCATTCTGATTATTAATTAATTGATGCTCAGTGCGGGAGAGCACAATTCGTGCCTTTTACGGAAAATAGCCGTTGGAGAACAACGCGCCTCGTGTGAGAAATTTTCATTGTTCGACACGATCCAACTGCGCATTAGACGTCGCATTCGAGAATTTTCGGTTACATCATGCTTTAAAAACGATTTTAGGATTATTTCGGATGACTGAAATCATCAATTAAGAGAGTCTTGCTTAAGACACCGAGCGGAGGACATCCTTTATTCTCTTGTTGCGTGGAACGCCGAAGTGAGAGCCTCTCTCATCTCTCATTCCCTCCTGCGATTATTTTATCGCCTCAAATGGCTATTATAGCCATTTTTCATTAATAATTAAATACGCCTACGAACGTTGATAATTCATCATGCGACTCACGCCCTAGTATTGTGGACATTTCGACATTTCGTGCAGTTTTCGTGCGTTTAGAAAATTCATATCGAATCTCATGTGCCATGCCGGCCGATAGCTCTCACGTGGCTATGTTTTATGCTCAGTGAGCCACTTGTAGAATGGATCGAGCAGTGCCGTATCTTAGGTACCATGCGCCCTGCGCCTGAAAATTTATTTATGGGGTTTGAGAATCATTAATCTTGGTGTTATTTTCTCGGGCTTTGCTCCATTTCTTGAATTATGCGTTTATCTCCATCCCGGTTGGTAATAAAAGTTACTTGCGAATTGCGAATATTCACCTGAGATTATTTTCGTGCCTTTTGGCCAAATTTGAGATTATTAGGATTTTGAGTAATTAAAATTTCCAGGTCTCTGCGTACGTCACGCGGAATTTTGTATTTCCCTCTCTCAACTTTGTATTAATTAAAAATTTTGGACTGAGCACTTTGAAAGTCTTAACTGAAACCTTAATTGTTGTCACTTAAAACATTCGAATCTCAACGTACGTTTTTCAGAATTCAGCGTTTCTTAACATGATAATGTTGAAATTTTTCAAAACTTGAAAGTAACAGCAATGCGTTCAATTTTCAATCAAAATTTTCAATCAACGACCATAGATCTATGGATTCCAAAGATTGGAAATCTTGAGGGCTGATTGGTCGATTTGAAATGCCACCATTTGTTATTCGTTACCGGAACATTGAGATACCGAACAAAAACATAACCTCGTTAAAATAATCCATTGTGGGTTCCATATTTTGTTGAGTGCAACAAATGGATTCATACACAATGTGCCATTATGTTGGTTGAATATCCGTTAATTATTATCATCACTATAACTTCATCTAGGCGGGTGCGAAGCCATTTCTCCCGCCAAACGCCTACTACTGCCTTAAACTCTAACACAAGTGATTTAATAAAACATATTTTTGTAGATATCTGTGACAGCCATATATCGCTCCATTTTTAATTTGAATCGGTTAGCTATGATACTCCCTCAAATTTTGTGGTTGACAATTTTGTGTTACTAAATAAATGGTACACGTAAGAAGTAAGTGTCTATAACTTTCAATTTTGGACTTATCACATGTTTCATCATCAGCCGTACCTATTTATCAACAACAAAATAAATCGCCAAAGCCATTCATAATGATCGCAATCAATATAATGGCTACACAGTGTATGGATCCATTTGTTGAACTCGAAAAAATACAAAATCTACAATGAATTACTTGAACGAAGTTATGATTTGTTTGGTATTTAAACTTTTCGGCCACTACGATCAGGCTGCTCACAGAACATGGCAGATTTAAAGAACATTGCAGAGTCATCGGCATGAACTCGGATGGGGGGTGCAGATTCTGTAATGAAGCAAAAGAGGACAGTCTACACATCCTATGTGACTGTCCGGCTCTAGCAGCGAGGAGACTGCGCTGGTGGGGAACTGCCTTCCCCACCGCAAATCAAGTCGCGAACAAGGATGAAACGGATCTGTTAAGACTGGCAACAAAGGCCGTGCTGGAGATATAATCCGCGCATAAAAAAAGCGGAGCTACAGTGACTCTAATTTGAGTTCGGTGGCATTGGGAAGGCTAGTCCGACCATCCGCATACTTAAATCTAATCTAATCTAATCTAAACTTTTCGATGACGACTGGTGAGACTTTAAATCGACAAGTCGGCGCTCGAGGTTTCAAATCTTCTGAGATCCATGAATACACCGTGAGAGCGATAGACTGTCCTAGAGTGTCAACCTGAGCGGCGGCAAGTTTGAGCCCGGCCTAGGCCAGTCTTTCGCCACTCGAAATCGTTGAACGTTACTCTAGAGTCTAGAAGCTAGACACCAGGAACCATCGAGACTGCATGTAAAGGAGCACTGTTTCGGCGGGTCTGGGCCCATGGACGCCCACGTTGGTCATGGTTGTCCATGGTTCCTCCATACGGCCATTAAGAAGGCCTGTATACGAAGTACAGTTTCTGGGGTAAATGCCACGTAGTTTGGGAAAAAGTCACTCCCATAACATCACAGCGAAGGGGAAGGGGGCGGGGCTATAAAGAGCTTTACCAATTATATGGGAAGAAAAAAAAAATAATAGTAGGGTTAGATATGTCATTGTACGTAGTAGTTTCGCAGCACTGAGATGATAACGCACCTCAGTTTTGTTTGATGTTTTTATATACTATAAGAACGAGGAAAGAATAAATGAAAGGGAGGAGAGGCAATTAATAACTATAGACAAGAACCCACCCCCGGGATCTGACAGAAGAAAAATGGCAAATACAACTAGACCTGAAGAGAAGTAAAAAGAAGAACATGATTTTTGAGACAAGGAAAGAGGAGCTAGAGAAATGAATGATGAAGGTACTGGACCTAAAAGTGAGAATATAGAAACAGAAGAGAGGAAGGGGGTGGCTAGCCAGAGTGGAAGAAGTTACACATAAGAAGGCAATAATGAAGGAGAAGACAAGGCTGAAAGAAAAACGCTGGGGAGTATACATAACATACCATCTCACAGAAACACAGAAGGAGGTGCAAGCATGGATGGAAGGGGAGGTAAAGAACTGGAGAAAACTAAAAAAAGAGGCATGGACGCGATACAAAAGCATCTGTGTGGAAGGGACCTGACTAGAATGAGATGAGAAGGAAGGAACACTGAGGCAGAGGGAAAAAAGAGAGGAAGCAGCGAGAGAAAGGCCCTTTTAATCAGGAGACGTGCGCAAGAGAGGAAAAGAAAAAAAAGGCAATCAAAATTTGGCACTGGAATGTAGAAAATGCAACTAACATAGAAAAGAACGAGAAACAATGGAAAAAGATAGACGTGGTGATGTTTCAAAAAACGCACCTGGAGCAAAAGGGAATGAAGAAAATGATGGACTGACTGTGCAAACAGTTTGAGTGGTACGGAAGGGAAGTGACTAGGGTGGAGAGAAGAACTCTCATATTGCAAGGCAAGCAGAGGGTGCCTAATGAGAATCAGGAAAACCCTGGAAGCGATGTGGCAAATAGAACAGTGGAAATACGGGATGAAGGCAAAAATAAAAGCAAAGAAGAGCAGGGACAACTATGTGATAATGAACACATACAACAACGACAGGAAAAAACAGTGTGCCGACGGAGATGAGTGCAATAGTAGAGAAAAGAGAAGGCACGGAAGAGAGAATGATGATCACAGGAGATCTGAACGCTAGAATAGGAGAACTACAAGGAATATCATAATATTATTATATATATAGAATAGGATAACAGAAAGAGAGTCACAGGACAAAACAATGCGGGCCGAGAGCAGAAGGATATTAAAGCGGTGCAAAGAAAGGGCACTGTTAATACAGAATGGCAGCGCAAGAGGCGACGAGGTGGGACAAATGACATTCATAGGAGAGGGGACCGGGTTAAGAAGTGTTCTAGACGATATAACTGGCAAAATGGAAGGAGAAGAAACGCCAGACTAGTTCAGAGAAGTGAAAGTAACCGAACAGGAAGGGTCGGAGCACCTTCCCATCATCTACAAGGTGGACTGGAACGAGGAGGAGAGGAGAGAAAGGGAGAAAACAAACAAAGAGCTACCAAGAAGAAAGTGAAAGGAAGGAAGAGAGCAAATATTTCAGGAAAGGTGAAAAGAAAAATGGCTAATTGGAGAGGAGGAAGCTGAGAATGCGGAGGAAAGATCGAAGAAACTAGTGAAAATAATAGCGGAGGCAGCACATAAAGCGAAAATGTTGGCAAACAAAGAAAGGGAAGACAGAGCGGCATAGGACACGGGAGGATACCAGCAGGAAAGACAGAGAATGTTCAGAGGCCTGAACAGATTCAGGAAAAAGAGGGACTGGAATTCAAAACGGATGTACAACACGTACAAAAAGTCTCTGAAAAGGACAAGAGGCAGATTAATTGAAAAATGGATAGAGCAAAACAGGGAGAAGTAGCGGCGAGTAGCACATTGCAAAAATGTTGGAAGACGATGAATTGGTTCAGGCATGGAAAGAAAAAGGACACAAACACAATATCAGAGGAAGATTGGCTGGAACACTTTAAGAAACTTCTGCAAGCAGAGGAAAAACAGGAGGAAGCTGGCAAAAAAACGCCAAAAGGTGACGAAAGAAGAGAAGAGAAGAGAAGGGGGGAGCAGAAAGGAACCACAGGAAGAGACAAAGAAATAGAGATAGAGTGGATAGACTTGGTGAGAGAAATAACAGATCTGGAGTTAGCTGAGGTAATAAAGGAACTCAGAAGTGGCAAGGCAGCCAGCGAAATCGGGGTCACAGCAGAATTTGGAGAGGAATTCCTTAGGAATTTGCAGATGAATTCCTTAGGAAATTATGTGTAATCCTCCCCAAATTCCGATGAATCCCTCTGAAAATCCTAAGGAATTCCTAAGGAATCCCCCTTAAAAAACTAAAAAATTCCTCTGGAATTCTCAAAAAGAATACATAGAGGATTTTGAACAAGACCCACGCATGTTGTTACTCTATGCTGCATGCGTGTCAGCCCGAAATTCGCGGCAGAGCAGTGGTACTCAACTACCTCTCTCAGCTCCCGACGTCCCTCACACGCTGTTCACACGCTGGCACATCTAAATGGACTTCTACCACTCACACTTACGCGCCATAACTCAGCCCTCTCATTAGCTCTCGTTAATTTTTAATTATTTGAAATTGGTTTTTTTCTATTTTTCTAGTGGTTTCAGGAGGGGTCCCTGAACTCGTGGTCGGGAGGTATTACACTTATTATGTTACACCCTGTATATAAAGGATGAAGGCAGGACTAAGCAGCATAGAAGTAGAAGCGGTTAGAAGGGCAGCAAACATTCTGATAAAACTGAGTAAGATGAAAGAAGATAGATGGCCGAGGAAGTGCCTAAGGAAAGAAATAAGAGAGATAAAGAACGGATAACCGTCTAACTGGGGAAAGAGAGTGCGGGAGAGGCTGAAAGAAGTACGGAATGGAGGGTTACTGGAGCGGCTGTGGAAGGGAGAAGAAAAACAGGCAAAAAAAAGGGCAGAAGAAATAGTGGAAATAATTGCGGACCAAGAGAAGCAGAAAGACTGGAAAAGCATAGAGGAATCTAAGTACTGCAATTACTGCAGAAAAATAAATGAGAACACTGAAATGAGCGAATACTGGGCGAACAAGAGACTAGGCATAGAGCAAATGATGACGTCGGCAAGATGGAGATGCGGAAACGTACTGAGAGGAGGAAAGAAAGGCTTCGAGAATGGACGGTGTAGGGCATGCGGGCAGGAGAAAGAGGTACTAGAACATGTGATCAGCTACCAAGAGGTAATGAAAAAAGGAAAAACAGAGGACGAAGCGTAGTCGAAGAATTGGAGAAAAGGGAGGGGACAGAGAGAATGTTGAGAGAAATTAATTGGGGAACGTAGAAAACATCCAACAAAAAAGAACCTGGACAAAATGGGGAGAATACAGCAAGCACTGAGAGAAAAGCAAAAGAGCAGTGAAGAGAGGGAAGGGTAAGAAATCAGAGAGATGCAGAGAAGGAAGGAGGAAGGGTTTAGAAATGAGAAAAGAAAGTGGAAAACGAGAGAAGTGAACTAGAGAGAACAGTAACGAGAACAAGAAGAGGTGGGAAAAGAAGGGACAAACCGAGGAGAAAGTAGAAGCATAAGCAACGAGAGAGGAGGGGCAATAAGGGTAAGGTGCAGTAGGGACGAGGGGAGTATAATACCTGCATACATTTAAATAAAGACATAAAATAATAATTAGGTTAAGATACACTATTATATGGGTCATAAGAGAAAGAAGGCTATTGAGGATGTCAAACAAAATAATTTAGTAACATCAAGGAAATGAAATACTACGGCTACTAGTGCTTTCGAATATCTTAAATTAAGACTTTTCAATATCTCAAGTTTAGACTTTCCAAAGCCTTAATTTGAGACTTCCAAATTTAAAATTAAATTCTTGGAAAACCCAGAGTACGCCTTTCAAAAACGTTGTTTTTAGATTTTCGAAACCTCAAAATAAGATTCATTTTTGTTGGGTGTATGTCGGATCATTATGACAGTCTAATGCTTGTAATGTAATGTATCATGATCTTATTTCACATATCCAATGAAAACGTTATGGTTTACAAATGAGAAAAGATTCACCTGCTGTCACCAATTTTTCCACTTCAGGCACCTGGGATTTCAGAGTTTGCGCAACACTTTCCTTGTTATGCACGTCCGTACTGGAATTTTTTTCTGTAGTATTCAAGCTCGTCGATATAGTAACTTCAGATGTCTAAACATAAAATTAAAAAATGCAAATAAATAGGTCAGTAGCGAAAGGATAAGAAATCGGGGTAATTATTTAGTAGGTCCACATCTCGAATTACACCTATGACACAGGCCAAATTGATCATGAAACTCGTTTTTATGATCAGTAACTACCGAAATAAACCCCGACAATGGGTAGCCTAATGCCTGTCGTTGTTCCAAAATACAAGAAATTAAGTTTTTTTTTATATTGCGGCCCTTTCCGCCCTGTTCTGGCTAATTGACCTCATCTCATCCTATGCATGCGGATGTGGATCCTACACTGTACCGTATTCACTATCCTATAGAACATAGGAGTCACATCTGAAACCACAGGAAAAATCATGTCGGTACAGGCGGTTGCTCTATTAGTAACCACCCGCTCATCGGTGCCTCTTGAAAAATTCGATTCGACGGGGAATCCAACTCAAAACTTTCAGAACGCTAGGCTCGCACCTAGCCACTGAGCTAACGACTTCGGTAAGAAATTAGGTTCAGTATCCGATTTAATGCCCTCCTGAGTGATGGTTAGTGTGAAGTAGAAAATATGCGCCTCTCGGATTACCAGAATACCGTGCGGACTCCGGAAGTGTGGCGTAATATTTCCAGCACCCGTGAGGACCAATATCAAAGTTATCCAAGTGAGTACTTATTCAAATGGAACAGTAACTCTTTATAATTGCGGCGTGAATTATTTTCGACTATTCCCTCTAAATTTCTACACTTGGCAACGTGCGCGAAGCTAAAGAATGGATGTACTTACACGATCATGTGAAATTCATGGAAAATTACGACCTGGATTAGGACCAAAGTATTGAGGTGAGTCTACTAAACAATTACCAAAATCCGCTTCCTTTTAGGATAGATTTCGGCGAATATCTACACTCTTGAGAAGAATAATAACCACCCTTTTGTGATTCATTTGAAAAATAGAGGAGTACCAGAGAAAAATGGCATTAAATTTTTACGGAAAAATGTAAATAAGTTTTCTCTAATTCTGTTGAAGGCAGCCTTGCTATGCGTTTTAAATACAATAAGTTCTTAAAGTATCTGCATCGTCAGTTTTAACTGAACCCAAAATGGAAATCATTTTCAAACCATATAAATTTTGTTTCAATTCTAATTTCCAAAAACTGTTTTAATAAATCCTCAAAATAATGCAGTCCAATAAAAAAAACAAAAAACTAAGGATGCAAAGGTTACACAATGTTATTCAGCAAAGGTTACACTATTTGTGGCTTATCTCATCATTCGTACCACCATCTTTGCAGGTTTTGTTATGTCCTCCAAATGAAGTCAAACCAGTAGATTTCAGCCAATTCAATTCATTATTTTTAATTAAATAAGTGTTCATGTTGTGCTACCGTCTCCAATATCACCAAATATCGAGAAAAAAAAATTTTTTTTTTCATTAGGTTTTTGGGTTTCAAAACACCCTTCACACGAAAGTTTATATCTACTTAACGTTTCTTTGTTAGAACCTTTATTACATTTCATAGAATAAAAATAATTTCTGTTATTGTTCAAGATCCTCGGGTAATTTCATTGCTAAACTTTTGCAGGTAAAGAAACCAGAAAAGATTCGTCCCTCCTCTCGCGGGGAGAAAGAAAAAACTTGGGTAAATGTCTAGAAGAGGTCCTCCACTTCGATTTTTTCGATGTGTTTCTAGATTTAAGGCTTTCTTCTTCCTGTTTCCGAATTCTGGGGTGAGGGAACAATTAACTGCTCGCGCTCTACTTCAGGAACTATCAAATGGAAGAAAGGGGTAATAAATTCTGACAATCAGTGCGGGCCCGTAATGGAAAAAAGTTTCCTAACAGCTAAATTGTTAGTAATTTGTTTAATAATCATAGTAGCAATGTTTAACTTGTTGATAGGCACACGGAAAAAAATATGTAAGAAAAATTATTGGTCTCGTATTAGTAAACGAGATATGGCACTGCACTGATGAAAAGTCATTTGAAATTTATGAAAAATCACAGCAGTTCTCCGGAATATTTACTGCGAAGAATAACAAAAATTAGCGGACTGATCCTCCATTTTCACCGAAGTTCATTCCATGTTCTAAAATGTACTGCTCAAAACCTGAAATATTCGTACTAGTTATTCACTTCTTACTGCACTTCCCGTAAGAAGTGAATAACTAGTACGAATATTTCAGGTTTTTAGCAGTACATTTTAGAACATGGAATGAACTTTAAAATGAACTCTAAAATGTACTGCTAAAAACCTAAAATATTCGTACTAGTTATTCACTTCTTACTGCACTTCCCGTAAGAAGTGAATAACTAGTACGAATATTAAACAGGTTTTTAGCAGTACATTTTAGAACATGGAATGAACTTCGGTGAAAATGGAGGATCAGTCCACTAATTTTTGTTACTCTGCGCAGTAAATATTCCGGAGAACTGCAGTGATTTTTCATAAATTTCAAATGACTTTTCATCAGTGCAGTGCCATATCTCGTTTACTAATACGAGACCAATAATTTTTCTTACATATTTTTTTCCGTGTACCTATCAACAAGTTAAACATTGCTAATATGATTATTAAACAAATTACTAACAATTTAGCTGTTAGCAAACTTTTTTCCATTACGGGCCCGTACTGATTGTCAGAATTTATTATTTATTTTTTATTTATTTATTTATTTTTTTTTCGTACTAGTTATTCACTTCTTATTGCACTTCCCGTAAGAAGTGAATAACTAGTACGAACATTTCAGGTTTTTAGCAGTACATAAAGGTTAGTCACAATACTCGACGCTTACTGCGCTGTCCGGTAGTTTTTCAACCGATTCTGGTACGAATTTTTCATACAAATTTCTCTCCGTGAAGTAAATTATATATGTATGGCTTAATAATAAAGATTTCAATGGATCGGAGTAATCTCAGGGATAATAATAATGCCTGAAATGTCCAGAGCAACTCTGAGGGATTCACCTTTCTCTAATTATAAAACCAGAAACAGTCAAAATGGAGTAAAGTAATGATAATTAAAATCATTTAACAGTAAATCTCGAAACCAAGGCAAAACCTCAGGAATAAAAAAATTCGAAATGAATTGAAACAGATAATTAACAAAACCTTCGCAAATCTCGAAGTATCCACTTAGAAATTTATTCTGGGCGGTAGATACAGGCTGATTATCGGAAGGAAGACACACAACTCCCAAAATTTATCCTGTCATAGGAATTAAATCGTTTGGATACCGGAAAACCTCGAATCACTCGAAAATTCAGTTAAACCTCAATAAAAGAGAACCCTAAAGTTATAGATAAATAAAACCTCGATTATGAATTTACTATAAATGAATCGTGCCTCATTAATCGACCCTGGACAGCTGAAGCATTCGGCAAATGAGCAACATATTTTTATTAAAATTATTAATTAAACATCCGCGTAAATAATTCATTACACTTATTCTGGCGCCCGAAGAGGGACCTGAAAATTGGAGGGGAGTCCGACAACAAAGAGTCAAAAATCGAAGGGGACTTTGAAATCCGAGGAGACTCCGAGAACAGGGACTTGAAAATCGGAAGGGACTCCGAGAACAGGGACTCGAAAATCGGAGGGGACTCCGAGAACAGGGACTGGAAAATCGGAGGGGACTTAAAAATCGGAGGACTCGAAGATAGTGCAGTTAAAAACCGCCAAACGAAATTTAAAATTCAATTTTTAGCTTCACCGTTAAAAACAGAAATTGAAAAGCTCGATAATTAAGAAATATACAAGATGGCACCAAAGAACAAGATATCCTGGATCTACGTCCTCAACAAGGTGCAGCTGATCACCGAGTTGGAACGACGTGCATTAAGCGCTGAAGGTACAGTGGCCGAGCTCAAGGCTAAATTGAGGGAAGCTATTGGTGAGAAAATGTTAACTCCAGAGCAGAGCAACAGTAGCAGTAAAAATATCAGTGAACGAAACAGTAGGAGTAATACCAAACCCTCCAGTAAGAACACCTCCAGAAAACTCAGCAGAGACAATGTTCCGCTGAAAGACCTGGAAGTGGCTGAAACATTTGATGGCAGAAGGACAGATTATTATGATCATCTGGAAAATGAAGAGCAGAAAAAATCGTACGATATCTCTGCAGAGGAATTGAGCAAAGTCTTAACAGACATAAAGGCTAAACAGGAGGAGTTTGCAAAACAGCAAATACCACCGCCTCAGCAGACCATAATAACGGTACTACCCAGAATTGTTTCGGATATCGTAGTTGACCCAGAGGATAAATATGTAAAAGAAGCATATGACAGGATTCAACAGAATAAAATGAGAACCGTCAATGCATCAGGTATTGCTACTCCAAGGGATCATTCAAGGTCATGGAAAGATAATAGTCATTTGGAAGAAATATTCCACAGTTCAGTGAATCTAGACGATCATTTTCTAGGACTCGCCAGAGGAATGACTACCTAGAAGAGGATTATTATCAGTCCGATAGACACAGAATGAAAGTTATGATTTATCGTGGAGCAAAATATCAAGATAAAGATGATTTTCCCACAAGACCAGTCTCGTCAGCCCATGGAATAGGTACGAGGATTATCATCACACTCGACGTTATTCACGAGACGGCAGTGAAGAACGAAAAAGGATGGAAGAAAATTTTAAGGGAAAAGAAAAAAAAATTGGATGAATAATGGAGGAAAATTGAAGAAGCCAAGAGGAAATTCCATGAGTCTATGGAAGCAGATTAACTGAAAGAGAACAACCCCAGAATATCTCGATCCAGAAGGGATGATTCTAGAGCACGTTACGCAAAGAATCAATACTGTGATCGAGGACATCGTGATTATGACTATAGAGATTTATATCCTCGTCCCGATTATCCAGAGCCACAGAATACAGCGGAGTTAATCCGCAAATGGAGGGTCACCTTCGATGGTAAAGAAAATATTTTGAATTTTCTGGAAAAGACTGAAGAGTTAAGAGAAAGTTCACACATCTCTTATAGCACTTTACTCGAGAATGTTTTAGTGATGTTGGTAAGAAATTTTCAGGTACAGAAATAATAAACGTTCTTAGCATTCCTGGCGAAATTTTACTCATGACTTGAGAGCTCATTTTCTACTACGGAATCATTTGTTGAAATTAGAGAGAGAAGGCGACAGGATCAGAGTCTACGTGACAGAGGTTCTCACTCTCACGCGCAGACATGGAAGCTACTCAGAGGAAGAGAAACTCGAGAGATTATATTTTAATCTGAGATGAGAATACAAGAATCACATTAGGAAAATGGACGGCCGAATCAATGGAAATGTCAGGAAAACCCGATAAGTAAAAAGAAAACTAAACCGTCTACAGAAGTAGCTGCTATCACTGCAGTCAAATATGACAGACGCCAGTACTGCTGGAAATACAGGCAAAGGGGTCATCAAACAAGGAATTGTGAGAACCCAAGGGTTAAATTTTGCTCAGCGTGTGGTACCCTTGCTATCTAGACTAGAGATTGCATTTGCTCTAAACCACCATGGCTAGAAGACAGATTGAAGCAAGTTCAAGAACGTCGACTTCCAGCTGATCAACCAGTCTCCGCTGAAATTCAGCCAAACGCAGCACCTGTACAGCAATTTATCAACGCACCAATGCCAATTCCAATAAATCCGGTGAAACAACAGCTGATGCATGCACCATTGTCATGTACTGGAACCTCACATCAGCCGTTACTGTTTATAGATAACAAAGTCTGCATGAGCATCATAATTGATGGAGTGAATTACCTGGGACTGACGGATTCAACAGCAATCAAGTCATATGTGTCTCCATCTACATGTAAACAAATCTTAATTAATAATCCAGAACTAAAATTACAGATGGCAAGTCATACTACCCGAGTTGCTGATGGTCGTTCGACTCCTGTCAGTGGCAAACTTGAAATAATTATCAATTTTCAACCAGTTACAACACTATGTAATGGAAGAGCTCAGTGCACCCATTATAGTCGGAGTCGACATCATGAGGAAAATAGGGTTCTCAATGCTTTAAAGAGAACACTGAACCAATTAGATTCCGGTATGTTTCGAAAACCCGGAGATACTCAGGATAATGCAGGAAGAGGTCGACAGCACGGAGGCAGAAGGGATCATTGAAGATTCGGATAGTCCTTGGAATTCACCAGTGGTAATAGTCAAGAAAAAAAATAACAAGAATAGATTCTACAGTGACTATAGGAAGGTAAATGATGTGAAGGTAAAAAATGCTTACCCTTCACCACACATCAATACTATGTTAAACAAGTTCCATAATGCTCAATGTATTTCCGTTATTGATCTTAAAAATGGATATTGGCAAGTACCAAGGGATGAGACAGGCAGGCCAATCACTGCATTCACTGTACCTGATCGTGGCTTGAAGCAATTTAAACTTCTGCTCTTTGGACTGACATCAGTACCTGCCGCATTTCAAAGGCTGTTTGATCGAGTAATCAAATCAGAGCTTGAAAACAAGGTAGAAGCATACCTTGACGACATTTATTTTGTTGAATCTACCCTAGAACAGAGTGTTGCGAACCTGAAGACAGTTTTTGATTGGTTACGCGATACCAAATTACAGATTAACGTAGAAAAGAGCAAATCCTTGCAAACCAAGACACGATATCTAGGACACATTGTCGGACATAATGGTAGTAGACCTGATCTTGAAAAAGTCGAGGCCATTTTGAGATTCCAGAACCCAAGAATATGACACAGTTAAGACGATTTATAGGCATGATCTCATACTACAGACGTTTTATTCCAAATTGTTCGTCTGCCATGACACCACTTACTCAGCTCCTCAAAAAATCGCAGAAATAGGAATAGAAGAAAGAATAGCAGGATGCATTTTGCAGTTTAAGAGATTGCCTTACTCGATCACTAGTATTAGCATCTCCAGACTTTAGACACAGGTTTATTCTGTAAACTGACGCTAGCAACTCAACGGATTAATGGACAAGAAAACGTAATCGCCAATGCTAGTCGTATCTTGAGCAAATCCGGAAAGAATTATACGATGACAGAGAAGGAATGTCTTGCAGTCGTATGGGGAATTAAAAAGATGAGGATATATCTGGAAGTTTATTCCTTCCTTGCTATTACGGATCACCAGTTGCTGAAGTGAATTAAAACTTTGGAGAACCCGCCTGGGCGAATTCCACGCTGGAACTTATTTTTGCAACTCTTTTGCAACATGGAAACTCTGTCTACCAACTTCGAAGAGAGAACAAGCAATTGGAGAATAGTATATTAAGCAACATGTGCCGTAACTTGATGATTATGCACGAGCGCGAGAGCGCGAGAGTGCGATTATGCACCCTCTGCGCGAGTGAATAATCATCAAGACAGCACGAGTTGCTTATACTATTTTATGTTATAAGTGCGTGATTACACTGTTGGAAAATTACCCCTGAAATTGAAGAAAAACAATTTTCAAGAAAAAATTCCAAATATCCTGAATTTCCAAGCCAAGTCTAAATTTTATGAAGAAATTGATCAGAAATTGATTTCAAATTGGCAACATTGAAAATTCAAGTGAAATCATCACTGAATTTTCAAGAAATTTCTAACAGTATATATTTTTTTATTATTTATTTAATTAATGACTTTTAGAGTACATAAGTAAGTGAGGTATTCGATTAAGCTAATATAGAACTGAATAATCCTCTTAAACAAAACACAGTTTTTAAACATTTAAACAAAACAACGTTATTATATAATCCCTTATTGTTTCCCCTCCTATATCCCTTACTATTGTTACTCCCTTTGATTTTCATTTTTTCCTACATAGATTGATAGATTTGGACAGTTTGTGAAGTTAAAGTTAATATTTGTGGGAGAATTGATATTCTGCAACAAATGTGAAAGAGTCAAGTTTTCTTTATTTTCGATCCTGAGATTCGTAGATGTCGATGATTTGTCTGGATTAGTTCCTTTGGCATTTGGAAGTGGTCGAGCAGAGGATGATGATTGGTTAGAATGCTAAGCGACAGGTGAAGTAGTTGAAACTTGATTTTTTAGAGCGTGAAGTTTTGAAGATTCGAATGAGGGCACACGGTTAGGCACATTGTGAGCTGTTGATGTAGACGTACTTGGAGCTTCAAGAATACTCTTTGTGATACGTCCAGCAATTGTTCGTTTGTTGTGTAGAGAATTTTGGCAATAGTTGTGAGCAATTTCGGTGGACTTCCAGCCTCCAAGCTGCTTCAAAGCCACGTCACTCGCTCCAGTATTTGCCAAACATGTTGCAGAGGTGTGGCGTATACAGTGTGAGGTGTAACGGTTTACATTCGGTAAATTTAAGAAAATTGCAGCTTCCTTGGCCATGTTACCAATTTTATTTATTCCGATAGGTTGTCGAGTGCATTTTCCTTTGTTGTAATACAGAAAGAAGTCGTGGAGCGTACAATTATCGGGACGTAAAGCTATGTAATTCTTGACTTTTGTGCAAAGTGGCTGAGGAACTACAAATGACCTCGGATTGTCGGTCTTTGTCTCGTCAAGGAAGAACTCCAAGTCGTCACCTTTCTCCTTAAAATCAGTTATTTTCAAATTTTTCAGCTCGCACCTACGACAAGCACCGTACATTTCGAGAATCCAAACTACCTGTAAATAATTAATTTCATGATATCAATCTGTTTAATATAACAAAAAAGAAAGAATAATAGAGATAAACTAATGAAATGATCTAGCATGCATAGTAGTTGATAAAATGTCAATTTTTACCTTTGTATCTAAATAGATTTCATCAGGAGCAGTTAGCAGAAATTTCTTAACCTGTTCCTCTGTCAGAGCCAGCGCTTGGACACTTCGATAACCTTTCTTCGCAATTTTTAAAAATTGAATTAATTGTAAAAAATTGTGAATATTCACGTTATGCTGAGCACTGATAGTACTTCTCAATTTTGAGTATGTAGCCCATAAGCAAGTGGGCTTATATTTCCCCTTGAGTTCGTCGAAATAAGCCAGCATAATGTCTTGATCGATGTTATTGAGATCAAGTTTGTTCTCAACCATCCAAGTCTTAAAATTGCTGTAAGCAAACATGTACGATGGACGAGATTTTGTTGGTAGTAGAGTTGATCTCGCTTTCTCTGCAGCTTAACGAATATGCGATGGAACCATTGTATAATCGTTATTTGTCTTACGAATATTGTTATTCGAGTCTCCATTAGCGGTACAATCATCGGGGTTTGTCGATGATCCGTGGGTGGCTTGTGTCATTGACGCGCAGGACTCATCGTGCGACTCCTTGTCGTCCGAACAAACTTCATCTCCCTGTGACTGGAGACCTTCTTCAGGATAATCGAAAGCCGATTCATTAAAATCCAGCTCGATATGGGTGTCCATAAATTCTTTGTATATCTCTTCCATTTTTATATAATTAAAGCTTTTTCATTACGTTGTAAACATAGAAAATTTGTAATATGTATGGCTTTATTCAGAACATTGACGAAGACTGATGATTAAACTTGAAGTTATGCATTTGACAGTATAGACACCGGCTGCCATGTTATAATACTATTAGATGGCGCACTGATAGCTCAACTGTAACCAAATCCTCTGAGAGTGTAACTCGATTATTCAACAGTTGTCATACATTATGGCATAGTTTTGAGATCGTGCATAATCGCGCATTTACACGCACTAAAATAGGACTGTAACTTCGGAGTTACACGCAGATGTAACATAAAATCATGATGAACCTACTGCTAGTCATCTCGGGATTGGAGACAATTGCTCGAATTACCCAACGGTATTTTTGACCAGGATTACATGGGGATGTAAAGAATTACGTTCTCCGATATAGTAACTACCAGACTTATAAAATACCGCAACAACATCCAGCGGGAAAAATGGGTACAAGACACGTTTCTCAACCTTGGGAAATGGTGTCTATCGACATTGTTGGACCTATGCCTAGATCCCGGCAGGGAAATGTATTTATAATCGTGGCTTAAGATCTGTTTACAAAGTGGGTGGAACTCCGTCCCCTGAAAAAGGCAAACGCGGATCTTGTGGTCAAAATGGTGAAACAGCAGATTATCTTACGATTTGGCTGCCCGAAAGTAATCATTACAGACAATGGACAACAATTTACTAGTAATTCATTCACAGCTTTGCTAGAAGAGTATGACATTGAACATCAACGCATTCCGTATCCTTAGTCCGTATTCACCCCAATGTAATTCAGTAGAGAGGATAAATCGTGTCATCAAAACCATGATCGCTCAGTTCATCGATGAATATCATCGCACATGGGACAAGTATCTATCAAAGTTAACCTTTGCGATCAATACAGCAAAGCACGAAAGTACTCAACAGACTCCGGCTTTCCTAAATTTTCGTCGCGAATTACATCAACCTGTCTCTTAAAAGATCTTTAGAAGTTGAAGAATCGGATATCCAAATGGAACAAGTAGAAAGACTCGCTAGACGAGAGGAAGCTAAGGAAATAGTGCAAAGTAACCTAGCCAGAGCATTTACAGACCAGAGCAGGTATTGCAATGAAAGACGTAGAGATTGGATCCCTAAGGTAGGAGACAGAGTTTGTAAGAAGGAATATCCTCTATCCTATGCTCCAGCTCAATTTGTTGCTAAGTTAGCTCCTAAATATACACCTGGATTTACAATTACAAGTCTTATTTCTCCAGCAGAGTATGAGATTGTTAATGATGAGGGAAAATGATTCCTAGTGCATATAAACGACCTCAAACCTTTTACTGAATAATCAGTCAGGCCAGGTTGTAATTTGTGTGCTTATTTTGTTTTTTTTCTTTAACTCTACTAGTTCACCCTTAGAAAGATGGAGAACAAGCGAGTTGTCAGAGGATCTTGCTAGCAAGAGTGAGAGAATCCTCCATATTCTTCCATTAACCGCGAAGGAACAACGACTTTATGATAGCCCGGAAGATGCAATCGACACTCACATTATTGTATCCAGAAGTAATTTTGACAGAAAATGAATCACCAGTAGTATTAGACACAGAGACACGAGACTTATTGAGAGAAATCGACGAACTGACGGGACAAGACCAAAGAGAGGGCAGAATTTCAGCTATCTCAGTTCCCAAAAGACGAGTTTCGATTCCACATAGTCCAGATTCTAGTTTAAGCTTGGCAAATTCGAGAAGAGATTCGCTTCAGTCCACATCTAGCAAGGCCTCGTTAGCCTGAAGTACATATACCGGTCCAATCAAACGGAGGAACTTGATACCGATCGATTTTTCAGTTGCAGACCCTTGAGTAATACTTGAATAGGAGAATGAGAGAAGAAGAACCAAGGGGGAAATTGTGGAGCGCAATACAAAACCAAACAAACAAGCAAGTAGCGCACTATTTAAATACCCTGGAGCGTAGCGAAGGGTTCGCACATGCCAACCTCGTGAGAATATCCCTATATTTAGAATATCAGTAACAAGTTTGCGACGATTATCTATAGTTTATTACCTGGTTTAAGAAAGGATTAGAAGAAGGACGTGTAACACACAGGATGTAACACCAGAGAAAAAGATGTATTATTATTATTATTTCATGTGCCGTAAAAGATACGGAAATTGAAATTAAAAGAATTGCAGCCTGGACAAGACGTCTGAGACACGTGTTCCGTATAATAATCAACGAGACCTACTACGCACTCCATGCGCCGAATTTGAATTTGGTGGGTCGAGTTGACGCGTTTCGAAATATTTCCACTCGGGCGAACTTTATTTTTGTGTTTCTACTTTCATAGTAAGGATAAAATGAAGCAGAAGAGAAGTTTTAAGTAACCTATCTCAGCTTAATAGTTATCTCAAGAGTGTATAAAACATTGCAATCATTTTGGCTCTGAGACTACGTCACTGTTTATGTGTTCCCATAGAACTTGAAGTGCGTATACGATTAAAGGTCAATCCACACAATGTCGTTGACTTTATATTTCATTCTACGTCATACTTACATCTGATGAATCGGTAATCAAATTATCCCACAAGTTCGTAGGTAATGGTCGACTCGTGCTCGCATTAGTCATTTCCACATTTGAACTTGGTAGGGTTTCAGCGAAAGTAGATTCTTGAACGGATTCCCCCACAAATGAAAAATTTTGCCGACCATTATCGTTCTCCGCAATGACGCGTTCCTCATCTACAGCTGATGGTTCAATATTTATAAATCTGAAGCAAAAACAGAGAAATTGGAAGAATTTAATTGAATGAAAATATATCACTTATAAATAACCCATGGGAAAAGTCCTAATTGAGATGAAAAATATAATGAGCTGTTATTCGTGAAAACAGTAAATTTCTATTTTGGCTCCAACAAAATCTCAAATTATTCGGGTCACTGAATGAATTCCAGTAATTGATCTGACAGCTAGAGTCGTGATTTTCTGATAAGCGTGTAAATCTTACTAAACATAATTGAAATCGGAGGTGGTGGGGCTATATTAGATATTTATCAAAAGATCTTATAGTTGATCTTAACAATACTGCGTGGCGGGAACTACATTTCTAACCCAAATGTTTCTTCAAACTTCGCAATCGTAGCAATAGATATAGAACTCACCCATCTCTAGCTAATATGCCCAGCACACTGGTCAAATCGTCTCCTTTTTCTTGCCGCAATTTCTCCTCTTTCGCGTAACTTTTTTCTATGCTATAGTCTTCGCCAGCGTTTCTCAAAATTTCGACTCTCAAAATTCCATCTCTAGGCCATTCGTCTCTCACGTGCTCCAAACAATTCGTCGGTGCTCGAGAGAATACTATATGTATGTATGCCATGACAAAAAATGCCATTATTGCCTGAAAATAAATGAAAAATCATGGTTGTGGTTATGATGATTCGTCTGTATTTTGTAAAGAATTGGCAATTTGGGCAAAGATGAATTCATTTTTCAGCCAATAAGTATCATAGTTACAAAAAGAAAAAACTTTATAGATACAGGTAAGGAATTGGGTAGAAAAGTACATTCGTTTGCAGTTAATTGTATTGAAAAATTGTGTAAGTTGTTAGCAAATTTTGAAAAAAAAAGAATAAAAGTTAACCGACAGTAATGGTTGGGCGAGTAATGTATTGTTCCGGCAGACATCCAAGCGAAGTGCTGACGCTGCACCCTAGTGATCTACTTTATGACGAATATACGTGGGCATCATCCACGAATTTTCGAGTTCATTTATATTTCAACATTAACATTATCTAATTCCACATTACATGTTTTGGATTATCTGCGCCATTTCGCGTATTCTCATATTATCCATATAATTGAGAAATTTCTTAATACTGTTTCATAATTACTGATATTGAAATAACTGATAATGCGTAACCGCGGAACTGAGACAGGGTGCTAGCTAGTTGCCGTAGTAGGTTGCCGTGCTAGTCCTACGTTTTTTGACATCATGTTAGATTACATTAAGGAGGAGTGGATGAGGATGAAGGAAGGGGGCTTGCAGATTGGAGTAGTGCGAATCCATCGCCTAAAATATGGAGATAATGTGACGATGAGGACTTCCGGAGTTGCTGGGACAATGGTGGTAGGACAATTCATCCTCCATCTTTTTTATTCTAGGATATTTCGTCCAATTAGTTTTTATCCTTCCTTTCTGGCTGAAGACATTTAATCCGATTTTGTTTTCTATCCTATGCAATTTTACCCGATGCCATTTGCATCCTTGTCATCTTTTTCAATTTTTTTCGTCTCATCAGTTCATATAATGAAAATACACAAAAAACAATAATGAAACTTTAATCCGGAAATATATTAAAAACTAGAAACCGACGTGCGGTGGCCGTGCGGTTAGAGCGTAGGAGGTTGGCACATGAGATTCGTGGGTTCGATTCCCAGTCGGGGAAATGCCAGGGGTTTTTTTAGAGATAGAATTCGCTCTAACTTGCACAGGTTTCATCGTACGAGCGGTAGTCTCGAAAGAGACGACTGTACATGGCCAAGGTTTTTTCCCATCAGGTTTTCCCTTCGGCCCTCGGCGTAATTGCGGTACAGGGGGAACTGGGGATGGGAAATGTAAAAGCCCGAAAGGGTATACATGTGTGGACAAGTTTAGTTTTATTAAAAAACTAGAACGTTATTTGCATTATTATATCACTGAACCATATATCTTCACGGTATTTAGATTATTATTATACATCATTGCTTCTAATTCTTGGACTAATACGAGTGCACTTAACATTTTGATGGATGTTTTGAAGTGAATATCGCTGATGTAACGTACCGACAAACGAAATTCTTGAATTATTTTCCAAATGCACTAAGTGGAAGTAGCATTCACGTATTTGAACAATAGAGTAGACAGATTGATTTTAAATTTGGCATCAACTCATCCAGGGCATTTAACAATTTCATATAAGTAATCTTGCGTTTGTTTAGCAATAAAGCGTGTGTAAACAACAAAGCGACTAGTGGCAATGTTTTGTTCCCTATCTCAGCATTCGGAAAAATATCATATCACCTTTTTTGTAGTTCTTATTGGGCTCGATCGATATTCGGATTATTCCGATTATTGTCGTGACACCTCGGATCAACGGTCAATGGGAAAACGCGGAAGGGACGCTCAATGGAAAATCTCAGTCGTGAATCAGTAATGATGCAATGAGTAGTGAATTTTACAAGGAGATTCAATTTTAAAGAGAGCATTAGAACCTCTCCGCGTCGGTCGGTGATTTACAAGCTACGTCTCCGATGAACAACCGCAAGAAAACTCAACATTCTTTATGTACTGTCCATCAAAAAACCTGTAACTCAACACAGTGTTAATACGCTAATTATGGATTTGACGTGGTTCAAGCCCACCGAGATAAATATTTTGTAAAGTTTAACAGTGTTGTTTTTAACATCACCGATTACCCTTCTCCACCTACTTCGCCTGCGCCCTAAACTTAGATATAGCTAGAATTATTTAAAACATGTAATATTGATGTCCGCGAATATTTACACGGGATATCTGAATATGGATGAATTTGTATAAAAATATTAAATGATACTGATTTTTTAGATGAAATCAGCATTATTGTGGATTTTAACAATAAAATCTAATAGAATCCGCTAATCTTTATACCAAATATTTTCATTCGTGATTATTAATACTACTGTGAAAACAGAAACTTCTACGTGTGATAGAAACCATATGAACACATAATTGAAAATATCAAATTTAATGAATAGATTAGAATAACACATTTGATTTTTTTTTTCAGGACACCTTAAATCTAGAATGAGAACGGAAAAATCTAAGTTGCCTAAGAAACATCAAGCAAATTATTAATTATCCTTCGCAATTACTTAAAGATGTTTTGTAAGACCATTTATCACCGTTTTGTAGATTAACAGTCAGCTATTTATCTTAACGACTTGAAATATATTACTATTTTTATTCCATTGAACGACACAGTGTGAAAACTACATAAGTTATTAAATCGTAATGAAATTACATGAACAGCATATTTGGTTCGTCATTTAATTTGATAGTTTACCGGAAATATACAAAAACAAAAGTGATAAATGGTGAAAATGGAGCCCAATATAGTTAAGGATGTTCCGCCTTTAGCTCGAATTAGTGGTTTTTCTGTTTTCTGACAAATTGTTGATCCGATTGACGCGAAGAAGTATACCGGATTCGCATTTCCTCATCATTCAATAACTCCCAAACTATAATGATCGCACAATAATTTTCCTGTTTTTTTTTAATTGAAAAAAAAAATGCATGAAACTTTAGAAAAAACGCACGAAAATTATTGCACACTCGTCAAACTTTGCAAGTTGTGGAATAATAATAAAATGCAAGAATCATGTATTTTTTCGGGTCAATTCGATCAACAATTTGTCACAAAGCTCAAAAAACCGATGATTGTGGCTAAAAGAGGGCCGACCATCCTTAAATTATTATTAGTTTTGGCCAAATTGGCAATGTTTCCATTTTTCAACAGAATTTTCGTAGGCAGTCGATAACATTCATGGAATTTTAAAATAACAATCCAATTTCTTGGAAAAACTATAGCATTTTTCACTCCATTTTTCCAAAGATTAAGGTAAGGTAAAAAATTTAAAAAACTTCAACAAATAAAACTCACCTTTAACAAAACTACAAATTCTATAAACCTCCTGACGGGCTTTGGAAATGTTTTAGCGTATCCCAGCGCGGCTTTGATGAAAAGCGCGTGGAATAGCCTGTCTCTCATGTGATAGAGTGCATTTTGATTGTTATTATTGCGTGCTCGATTTATCAATCCTGGCGCAATGGCTCCTGCCAAGCTGTGATTATTATCCGTTCCCCCGTTTTGGTTATTATTATTATTATTATTATTATTATTATTATTGTTGTTGTTGTTGTTGTTGTTATTATTGTTAATATTAATATTATTATTATTATTGTTTATGTTATTATTATTTATATTATTATTGTTATTATTAAAGTTGTTGTTGTTAATCGAAGGTAAAACAAGGGGAACATCCACTTGAGACATGATTCTTGAATTCTATTCTAGTTTATCTCCAGTTTATCATTTAAAAATGATATTCAAAGTTTGAGATCCACAGGTTCCGTTGGAGAATTCCACTCCGTCCAAGTTCAAACATTCCTGAAAAAGAGAGTAGGATTATGAAAAGATTTTTCACGCAGTAGACTTGGTTAAAATTCTTTCTTACATTTGTACATTTGTATTCTTTTACTGTTAAAAGTTTTATGTGCATAAAATGTTTTCCTGCACGTTATACATAAAGTGAATTTCATGCTAATGCTTCGCGAGAGATACAAGGTGACACCATGAATGAGAAACTCAATACAGCAAAATATTACTCGGGCTGTTGCGATGGGGTTTTTGCAATTCCACACGATTAAATCATCCCATCCCGACAGACCTAAAATGTGAACGTCCGCATCTGGAGTTGGAGCTCCAGTACTTGGTTCATATAAGTTGGTCGGATATTGACGTAACAGTGAAACACCAATAATTGGCACTCCTACCCCTGAAAAATTCTTGCCGGAATATTGAATCGCCAATGGTTGGTGTGTTCATCATTGGCCACGTATTGCCCCAATATTGCAGCACCAATGTTTAATGACCCTTCTATTGGCTAAGTGTTGACCTAGCTTTGATGTACCAATATTTGGTGCATATACAATTGACCAGATATCGGTCAAACATTAAAGCGCCAATCCTCAACACTTTTACTCTTGGCCAATTATCGGCCTAGAGATGATATACCGATTGGCTTGAAAAGGTTAGCCCATTTCTATGACTTGGTCCAGTGTATGGCCCATTTTTGGGGTCACAACAGTACATATGTACCCCAGATCTCAACTATGCAATGGTTCAATAATTAACGATTGGTAAACTCTACTTACATGAACTTTAAAATCTATCAAATACCGAGAAACCCAAAATACGGCAGCTACTTACTCGAACTCTTATTCATTTCGTTTGAAAAAAGAACATTGATTGCTCTTTTCAATAGTCATGTACACTACAATTGAAATTCACTAACATTTATTACTCATCCATGTGTATCCATCAATGGATCTTATCATGCAATAAGCCCACATGAAACACATAAATTCTCAAGTTCTACGCCCACATGACAAAGTGGGCCTTTTTCAATTTTTTTTTTCAACTGAACGATAATAGTAATTCTAATGAAGATAGAATCACAAAATTTGCCGGATTCGATACGGAACACCCTAAGCTTTGTCCAGAATTCATTAAAAAAATAGAAGAAACTGGACCAAAATGTAAAAACTGCGGCTATCTCAAAAACTAAAACCGAGAAATGGGCTCTTCCCATGCGGATATCCACAAATATATAAAGCCACTGGCGAACTATAATCATATATTGATTCGACATGGTGATCACTTCTCTGTGCATCTTTAAATTGTGTTATATTATTTATGTTATATTATTTACCATCCCGCGATTGAGAAACAGTTCATTCAGGTTTGGGTTCTAAATTTCAAGTTTTAGGATTTGGAAAGTATGCCCGATTTCATGGCGCCAGAATTTGAATGCGAGAGGTGACCGTAAACTAAGCCGGTTGCATTTTTGGCATGTGCCAGCAGTTTGTCGGTCATCAATATGACGCGCTAGCGACTATTACATGAGTGCAAGTGACATTTCAGGAAATTTGCTTATACCTTTACTCATAAAACGATAGCTTCTGTAATTTGTAAGCTATCTGAAATTGATATCAATATAGCGGAGCGTTTCACTCAACTTTATCCTATTTTTAGTCTTTGTCCGAATTGTTCATGTAGGAGACTCCAAACGCGCGCGTACCAATGTGTCAATCTGTTAAAAAGTTAGTCCGAAAATTTCATAGAAACACCTGAGAATATTTAACCACAAGACATTTACATGAAATTCCCTGATTACTATTACTTATAAGTCAATCAGACTGAACTTTTGAGGTACTGCACTGGGAAAAAAAACCCAAAAAATTACTGTGCTGGGCATGGGAATCGAAGTGCAAAATATTTTTATCGAAAAATTGACTGATAAGGCTGAGAACAATTCCTGAGTACACCATGCTTATTTACAGAAAATTTAAGATTTTTTGAAATTTTCATTAGCAAATTTTCCTATGCAGCACAGTAAAAGGTCTGAGGTTAAGAAGCATTACTGCAAACTCAAAGAAAGAATGATCGAGATAATATGAGCCAGTACTGTGAAAATTGCCACACGCCTGTTTGCTGCTACGAGATCTTCACTGTACTCCCTATGAATATCCACGACATGCTCTGGTTTAGGATAAAACAATTGCCGATACCCACCAATTACTTCTGGACGTTAACGAACAGTAGAAAACAAAGAAGATTATCTGAGTTCAATATATTATTCTGTTTGCATTTAACTTAACCATACTTTGTTAACCAATTCTATGTCTTACAAGTATATATTTATTGAGGATATTTTACTTGAAGTGAAGTGTTTGAAATATAGCGTCAAACCTCTTAGACTTTTACTTCTTACACGCGTTACAACTATTTTGTGAAATACAAAAGTGCTAGTTTATGAGAAGAATCAATTCAAATTGGGTAACTATTGAATTCAGTTCGTTTTTAATTGGAAAATGATAAGGTACATCCAATTGCACGTCGGTTTGGTTTTTTTTTCGTTTTTTTATTTGATTTTTAGTTTGTTTTATATATATGGTATATTTGCATTCTCACTGTGTCTCTGCGTGTCGTAATACTCATCTACATCTGTTGTTTTCTCCCATTGAAATCTCAGCAATTTTTCATTTTTTTAATCGAAAATCATTCACTGGAGGTTAAATGAGTCTATGTGGCAAAATTTATAATTAAGAAGTGGTTATCAAAAAAATTGAATAAATTGTACTTTCTCAAAAAATAGTATGTCTTTTGGTGTCAATTTCCCTTCCTTCCTCTCCATTGATACAATTAATTATTCAATGATTTTGTTTCACAGGTAAAGAATTATCCTCAACGGTCAATTTAAAAATTCGGGCGGAAAGGCATATTTTTTATTCGGTCGATAAGGACTTTCTTCTTGTCACGATGGACAAATTGATATGGATCTACTAAATTTTTGCTCAGTCAATAAAGAAATGTTATGACACGAGCACAATAATTTTTCTTCCACAGTGATACAGTTTTCCTGTATCTCCCTTGGTAAAAATTAAGATTACGGACATAACTTTTTTTATCGCGCTTGGTAAAAATTAAGATTAAGAGCATGACTTTTTCTCGTCCGTGTGCTTTGCACCCCCATTCCCGATGAGCACAGTAATTTTTCCCGAACTTCTGCAGCAAAAATTCATTGAATTTTTTATCCGGTAGGAACGACGCGCGCCCGTCAGGCTACATAAAATTGATATTTGAATCATTTTTAAAAACTTTTAAAAATGATGGACGATAAAAGCACCTTAGTTGAGTTCAAAGGTCCCATAATCGATGCAAACTTCGAAATTTGAAGCGTGAAATAACGTTCAGAAGGAAAACAATATTCAATAATTTCGACAATTTAAAGAACGAAGGACAGGTTGCAAAATTTTATATAGATGTTTTTAATGACTCGAAAGAATGGAAAGATCCAGTGAAAGATAATTAAAATTAAAAGCCCATAACGTTGTGAAAAATGGCTCAAATTGAAGGACTCTGCACGCAATTCAAAGTTTTTTCAATCTCCTCTACGGCTGATATAATATTTCAACTGGTAAGTGAGTCAGAGAACTATAATCAAATATATCTAAATATATCTAAATATATCTATATTGTATCTAATCGGGATACAACATTGAAAAAATAACAAATTTCAAATTTGTGACATGCGAAATTCAGCACATCATCACCGGTAACCATTCACCGAGTGAATAGACTGAGGCAAAAAAGCATCATTTTGAGGATCTCATTGAGATTCATTCACATTAGTCGAGTCCAAAGATCAGATAATCGATGAAAACTCCAAATTTTAGAGGGTAGCATTGCATTCAGAAGTAAAGCAATGTTCAAGGAGCTCATGAAAATTCAACCGAATCATATCCAACAAGGGGCAATTTAAAGAATTAATGATCCTCTTTGGAATTTTATATGAGTTTTTTTTAATCTGAGTTAAAAAGACAGAGAAATCCAGCCAAAGTTGAATTTTCAAGTAAAACACGAAAATACAATTTGTGCCTAAAGGTGTCATAACTTAAGAAAAAAATATCAGAATAGACTGATTCAGGTGTCAATCTAAAGCTTATTTAATAGGCTTCCGAATTAATATAGAATATATGGGGTTCATTAAAGAATGACAATAGCGTGGGAACCAGAAGAAAGACCAGCGTCACGCTCAGCGATTGTTCTATAGTAGATTACATACTTTGAAAAATCTTGTCTTGAAGTAAATTCAGATAAATAACGCTACATGTATATGCTCCATGAGAAAATTTCATATACAGGGCAATATATACACACCAATGAAAGAAAATGTTGTCTACAGTAGAGTATATGCGCGCCAATGAAAGATGAAGTATGGATGGAAATGATTATAAGCTGTGACCAATAAATGAACAGTGAGGGATTGGTTTGATAGATTGAACTTTACTAGACTTCAACTTTCGAGAGTTTCGATTCGATTTGATATAAACGTCCATCTCCGGGCACGACGCGCACTTTGATGGCCCTAGTACTTGAAGTAACTAACGCCAGTGAGCGTTATTTCACTTTCCTGTACCCTCCCATGATGAAAATCATTTTTATTTGTTGAAAAATTCAAAAGGTTACAATAGAAGGTTCTTTCCAGTCAAATCGAATAAACCTAAACTCTTAGACTTTGGAAATATAAAATAAAAAATATATGTTCTCTATAATTATATTTTCCGTTGTGGCGAAAAAAATGGTATTCTAAAGGCGAAAGGTGAAACAACAAACCCTTATCAAAGTGCTTACCACCTTCCTCTTCGGCTCGCCTGCAAATTTGGTACGTAGCTCATGCTCCTTAATTTTTCTTCCCTACGTTAGAAAAATACTATTTTTCGAGTGAAGGAACAATTATTGGCTAGGCATGCATTTTTCTATGTTAGTCCCACTCTCAACTAAACAATATCATAGGGTCCGATCCCAGGTATAAGCACTACGAAAATAATCTTAAAAACTGTAATCAACCATGTTTCGATTTTTTCGTTCCTATTTTATTTGTTTTTTTTCAGTTTCTGTTGCGTTTTAGTTTCATCTCTTCAGCAATATCTTTTGTAATGGATAGAAAATCCATTTTAATGTCCCTAAAAACATTCCATTATAGACAAAAGTCCATTATTTTTTTAATTTTAAGTAAAATCCAATGGGGGGTAATCAACAAATATTTGGTAGGCTTAATAAGTGAACTCCAAAAACTATCCTTGGAAATGATTGTCAATAATCTATATGAGTTACACAATCATCGAAAGCGTGAAATAGGCAATCTTTGTCGTAAGTATTTATCCAATATCTTCTTTTTAGATTACTTCAAAATTAAGTAGTGTGTGTACGACCTTATGGTTAAATCGGCGCGAAGAATACTGAATCATCAACAAATCAAAGGAGTCCCTATGTGATAAAATTCCTCATTCTTATACTTTCTAATCATTCTAAACAGTTTCAAGAAGAATGAAAGCATATTAGGCAGTATAAACGAATCACTAATTGATCTTAACCTCAAAAGTCTCCTGTCACATACTCTCACTGAATCTTTCCTCTTTTCTCATAAAAACCAACTATTCTTGTCATCAATGCGAAAAACCTTTCTCAATCGATTGACCAATCTTTCCAGAATTATTCCAGATAGTCGGAAAGAAACAGTAATTACGTAATAATAGAAAAGAAAAATCAAGGCAAATGAAAAACTCTTCCATGTTCACCAGTCGAGTCTTATCCTAAAAAAACGAATAAAAGCCCAATTTCGATTGGCTTATATTTACCGACCAATATTGATATAAATGTTCTTAAGATTTTGTTTTTCTGCAGCTTAAATTGTTGTCACGTACATTACTTTGAAGATAAACATAACGCACCTTTGGTTTCCAGTTGAATGCTCATAATATAAGTCCCCGAACGAATTCACTATTTCACTGTCACTGAGTAATACACAACTTTCACTGATTAGTGTATTATGTGAGATGTTCATTCCTTCATTTATTTATTGCATTTCCAGAAGGGATCGGAAAAACTTTCGGGGTGAGAGTGGATGGAAAATTCTATTTCGCGACACCGAAACCAATTTTTCACCCCCTAGTGAGGTTTGATGAAACTACTAAAGGGGGGAGCCCATCAGCTGATGAGCCAAAGATGATTGACTGATAAAAAGGGCCTCGGCCTACAAACGACTGGAAATGGCCGAAATTGTTCATGAATATTTTCTGAAATTCTACTCATACTAATCTGACATTGGTTGGCATGAATATACAGTCTAAATTGAATTTAAGATATTGTAATTGAGGTAACGCATTGGCTAAGGCAATTTTACAAAGTTCAAAATCTCATTAGTCTATCTATTCTCTGTCTCGATCAATATTTAAAAAGATAAAAATTATTCAATGGATTCAATAAATCATACCGAGTTTTTTCATGATTCACATTATTTTCTCAAGACTTATTATCATGTTTTTATTCAGAATTTGATATCCTGGTGTGACGTCGTCACCCTGATACGGCAATTGAGTGATGCGCATGCGTGTCTTCTGTCATACGTACCTTTTGAAGTGAATTTATGCGGGAAATTTCAACAAGTCGATATTTTATTCTTAAATTGAATTGCAGAAAGGTGTGAGCTATGTGTTTTCATAAGGAATTGGAACCTCGAAAATATGTATAAACATGAAACTATCGAAACTAATAAGAGTCAGATCAATTTTTTGATTATTTCAAATAAATAGAAAAAATTCGATCAAAACACAATAGCTGAGATTTTTTCATGAACTATAGGAACGGAGGCGCGCGTCGCGCGCCCAAGCACGGTTGCATGATGTCAATATTTCAATGATTATTTCCATTTTCTCCAAATCTATTCCAAACCCGTAATATAATAATTCACTCCTGTGTATTCTAAATAATTAATTTCTTCTTTCTGAAATGAAGTATGCGGAAGTAATGCAACCAATGAGGTCAGTGAGGATGAATTTATGACACATCATTCACAGAACCAAATCCAATAACAAGAGTATCGTCTTCAAGCCTATTTTAAGGGCTCCGAATGAGTATTCGAATAATTGTAATCCATAGAAAACTTAAAGAATTATCGTACATTGAATTCGTCCATAAATCGAAGGTGTTACATTCGAAAATATACATTCAAACACTTATAGATATCAAATGGACAGAATCGACTTTCTACATGTATATCGTTAGAAAGCTCTTTCAGAGCTCTTCAAAATATTATATGGCTTATCTCCATTGGAACATTTGCCAAAAAATGACAGACAAAAAAAAACAGATAAAAATGACAGACCAAATTTTGCCTTTCACGATGAATTATTCACGGACTATGTAATACTACTCAATATTGAATAGCGCACCTCAAAGCATGCTCCAGGGGTTTCAAAATGGCATATAACTCATTCCAATCTAGAAAAAAATAAGTTGATTACGACCAATGAAACAGAAGAACTCCCATAATTGAAAAACTATCAAATTTAACTTCAAACAACAAATCATTCAAAAACCACATGATCAAACCGAATATTCAGTATATTATGCTGAAATACATTTAACGGGCTTTAAATCGATCTATAAATTATCCCTATCCGACTAGAAATAAAGGAATTATTGCCAATTGAATGAAAACAAAGCCAAAATCGGATACCATTTCTTTTATAATGAAAAAAAGCGGCGTAAATAAGTCTTTCATCGTCACACTTACGCGAAACAATTTTTAGAAAAAAACTCGAAAGGAAAATGTATGTACTCTGATCCTATCACTGTTTGCACACTTTCTTTTGCTCCTCCCGTTTTCGAAAGTTTCCATCATTTTATTGGTTTTTTTCGAAAATTCTTTTGTGACAAACACTCAATTATGTTCTATTAAATATCCATTTTTTGTTCATTATCCTAATGGTTTCTTTTTCAAAAATTTCGAATTAAAGACAATGCAGTTATAATACAATATAGAGGAGATGGGTGCAAAACAGACATTCAGGGAAAAACGGACACCGTGGAATTTTTTTAACTATGCCCACTTTTTAATTTTTTAATTTCCATATTTTTTTTTGTTTGAATCATGAAAATAACTCAAAATTAAGGGCTTATGTAATTAATGAAGTACTATAGGAGTTATACGCGGCTATATAGATCGCGCTCGGATAAATGAAAATTGAGCCGCCACAAATTAAAATTCTCAAATAGGAGATATATGCTGAATTACGAAATCTGATGAATATTCTAAATCTACTGAATATTCAAATGAATTGAAAGGGTGTCCGTTTATATTATATTTACAAAATATTCTCAGTGACAGAGTATGCCCCTTCTTATGATTATATTCCGAGAGATTTGAAAATGCTCAAGCATATTTTCTCGAGAAAAAATTGTTTTTTTTTCTTAAGGTGTCTGTTTTGCCACCGGCTCTCCTCATAATACTCAATTTCGGAAGAGTCATTGAAAACATTCCAGAATTTTATAAAAACAAAAGGACGCGTAGGAAAAAAATCTATCTATGACATTGTGAATCATTTTCAAGTAAAATCGGATAAAATATGATTAGTATAATAATAATAAAAAATGGTTAAATAGAAGATGTTCCGCACGGATCTGCCGTAAATTTCTACTCAAGTTTCTAGGTTTTGGAAATCATTCGGATGAACTATATGTCAAGTGGATAACTCAAGAACGAAGTATTGAATGAATACTGAAACCTATGAACGCCTGTTCTGTCGAGTTCGGGGGGTCGATTGCCGGTCCGAATACTGGAAGGGTTTCAATTGGTTTCAATTGACTTTATATTTCATCCTAATGATTCCCAAAACTCACATACTTAAGTAAAAATTTATCGCAGATCGGTCGTTCAAAGTCTAATAGTTAACAATCTTTTGATTATTATTATAGTGAGCATTTAATTACCTTGGAGTGCATTCAGCCGATTATAAGTAGGAGCATAGAAAAAGAATTGCCAAATATTTCGATACTACGAATTTATCAAATCGAAAGTACGATCACGACTGCTCAATACGACCCAGAATTTTTCGTGAACCTAATAAATTTTGATTGGGGCAAAGAGATAATCTCTGCGGATATCGTTCAACGAGCTTGCCGCATCTAACTTTTATTGTTCCCCTTATATCCAAATGATGGGATGGAATAACAAACATATTTTCTCAATATTGTTCATTCGCACGAACAAACTTTTCCATCTTTGTTAAATTCCCGATTCCTCAACTACGGATTTTGTATCATTCAAATCAGACTTTCGCCATGTCTCCCGGATGGTCATGCGCCCATTTCCTTCACTCGGTTACTTTACATTTCAATAATTTACCGCCCGCCTGTCATTCGATTTTGGGATAACTGTACCCAAGCGATCGAAACGCGTAGGAGTAATTCCTCATTGGTCAACTCGAACCACCAAATTCGAATTCGGTGCACGGAGTGGGCAGTAGATCTCGTCGTTTTTCAAACCATGATCTTTAAGATCCTCTGCTTGGCTAATTTCCCTTGAATTAGTTGGAATAAATAAAATATCTTGAAAAAAAATAACTAATTTAACAATTTTATTCATATCTGAGAATCACTTGAATGAACCACTCATCGTTATCCAGAGGATAACGAGCTGTAGAAACAGAGACGATTTCTGGGTTATACAAGAGAATGTACATCAATGTTACATAAGATGACTAATAATCTTTAAAGAACAAAAGTTTATGCAGTAATTCCTCGTTTAACTCATCCACATCCATCTGCCGCTGAACCTCGCCGGTGGTTTTGGTGCGTCTTCAGGTAATTTGGGAATTCTGTCCTCGTACTCAGGAAGTACGTCAACCGGCTTGGGCCTCTTCGAGTCGTGTATTTTGACTTCACAGAAGTACCCATAGGGAGGGCGCTCTACGTTCAATTTCTCCAGAACACATTTGTCTAAAACAGCTTGGGTTTTACGACATCTGAAAAAAGAACATCATTTTTTCAAAACAGGAATTTATGTATGTATGATTGAGGCTAGCGCATGAAACACTCCGACCCGTAGAAGGTCAGTCAGTAAGGAATCCTGAAGATACATTTTGGAAAATTCAAATCCAAATTCGCAATTCCTTTTAGCTAACTTATAACTAACTGTGCTAATTCAGCGTACAGAGGCTATGGAAAATTTTTCATAAGTTTTCATAGCGTCAGTACGCTGAGTCATTGGAATTAGTTATGTCAGTACGCTAACGACAAGCCCAAAGACATCCTCTGATATAAATGTAATTTTTGTTGAACGAAATTTCGATTGTCCTGTTTTTTTCTTCTCCATATGTATTTTCAAACTTTTAATTCGTCGAGGGTAATTTTTCGGAAGAGAATTTTTTTTTCACACCCCGGCAATGAAAGTTCGTACTTTGCTCCCTGGTAAGAGGCGAGAAAGTAGGTACTATTCTCCCTAGGAAGTCGCTTTCTGCCCTAGGAACTTATTTTCCTCCCTTGAGAAGCAAAATGGTAAAATTTTATTTTCCGACGTTCCACCAAATGCTCCCATTTCTGTGTGCAAGAAATTAACATTTATTATCGTTCCGTGTGTTGATGCTAGCGTGACATGCTCCACAGAGGGCCTGTTTACACTGAAGTATTAAATTAACTTAAATTTTGTTGAGTTGGCGATACTCAATATATGATATTATAAAAATTCCGGAGCGTTTCTATAGTTAAGTTGTGTTAAGGCCAAAAACTCGATGTAAACAGACTGACTGTGGTGCTTGGTACGACCGCACCAGTAACTTTTAGTCGCATCCCTGAAAAAACATCCCCGGAAAAAATATCCCGGAAAAAAAATCCCGGAAAAAATATCCCCGGAAAAAATATCCCCGGAAAAATTATCGCCAAGAAAAATTCTAATATTTAATTCTTAATAATAAATATTTAAAAATCCTAATTTTAATAATTTACAAAATGCATTTTAGAAAAAAATTTCTTTATTTATTATGACATATAAAAGGGTTAAGGGTTCGATTCCCCATGAAAAAAAAATCTTTTTTCCTTTTCTCAAATTTTCATTTAATGTGGTATGTGGGGAGTGGGAGGGGGCTCCGCCCCCCCCCTCAGGCCCCCCACCGGGGCTTCGCCCCAGGACCCCATCTCTCATCTACGCCCCCCCACCTCTGGAAAAATATGTACATAAAAAAAAGGGTGACAGAAATGAAATGTATGATTGGGGGATATTTTTTCCGGGGATATTTTTTCCGAGGATATTTTTTCCGGGGATATTTTTTCCGGGATATTTTTTCCGGGGATATTTTTTCCGCCACCCCTTTTAGTCAGTACATCCGTAGCAGCTAAACAACCCACTCGCATGTAATACATATAACGCACGAGTATTATTCAATGGACAGTGAGGCGAGTGAGAGGAGTGAATGTACTGATATGACGAAAGATGAAGTGGATGCCGAATTTAAGAGGTGAGCAGAAGCAATTACAGAAACCTTGTTATCCGAAAAATCAGCACAAAGATATAAATACTGCTACGAGCAGTTCCCCACGCGGAGAAAGGGCCATACAACCAATTCTTTGTACTTTAAAAAGTTATCCAGCATTCTCAAACCATCAACTCTCTGGTTTCGTTGGCCTATGTTAAACAAAATTATGAATCTCAAACACGATATCAAGCTAAATGCATATTTAAGACTCAGGGCTTTTGTGAAGAAAGAAAACAGCGGTTTAAAGGTGAAGAAACCGAATTTTTTCACTCATGGAGAAGTCGATACATTGCTCAGCACAGCCAATGACGAGAAATATCTCCACGTAAACGTAAGCAAACTTATCAAAAATACAAAAACATTAACTAATTGAGATTACATTGGAGTGATTTTGAATTTTTGCTTTAATTATAGGTCGCCTTAATTCTTGGCGTATATGGAGCCCGATGGACCTACGAATATATTCGGCTTTAAGGCTCGGGTGGATTATCTAGAAAACATAATTTACTCCGAAATTCGGATTCCTAATTACTTTGGCAATTAATCATTTTTTTCAATAATTGTTAGGTAGCGTTCTAGCGGTTGTCAACAACTAGGCCGCTAGCTAACAATTATCGGAAAAAACGATTAATTGACGGAGTAATTAGAAGTCCCAATTTCGGAGTAAATTATCTTTTCCAGAGAGTCCATCCGGGCCTTAAATTGATCACTTCCATGACACTAGGTCTCGATTCTCGACTGATGTGGTAGCAGACAAGACAAACTTCGCTCGTGGTTTCGTAGTAGCCGATGAGTATTACAACACCGTGAAAAAATACATGGTTTTGAGACCTACATCGATTATCACAAATAGTTTTTTTTTTTTTTAATATCAACAAAATGCACCAATCAATCGATTGGGGAGATTCGATTACTGACTGTCGAACGAGGAAGAAGTGTTTAGTATTTGCACTCCGTGACAGTGTTAATCGTGTTTATCTGTGCGTTCACGGCATTCGGAAAATTGTAATTCTGGACAAATGTACATTCTATGAAATTGAATTAAATTGTAACAGGCGTCATTGAGAGGAGGGGAGAAGTGCACTTCTCCCCTCTTTTCCACTCGTGGAATATATTGAGAAACCCTTTGAATCACAAATAGAAGGGAAAAATCATATCAAATACAATGGCAGCACCCACTGGCGGAATGACAGTGGTGTCCCAAGGAAACACAGACCATAGGCAATCGAAGAGGCAAGGAGGTTTGTACTCTCAGCGGCTGGCAGGCGACGCCCACCCTGACAACAAACGAGCCATTCTAATTAATCCCATACAAGGTATTCCTGTCGATCAGTTTATGACATGTATCGGTGATTATATGGGACGAGCGAAAGTCTTTTCAATTTCACGTCTCAAGGGAGGCCAAGTTTGTATCTACGTTGATTCTCCCGATACAGCTGACAACTTGATATTAACCCAAACAGAATTATCGATTAATGGGAACCGTTTGAGAATCAGACCACTGGTTTCGCAGTCTAAGCGCCTTATTATTTCCAGCGTACACTCTTTCCTTTCCCACTACATACTAGAGGAAAAACTTACTGAGTATGGCGTCAAGACTGTCTCACCGATAACATACATAGGAGCAGAGTCCAAAATCCCTGGATATGAGCACGTCAAGAGTTTCCGTCGTCAAGTCTCCATTAACCCTGGGGATGAGACAAAGTTACCCAAGGTCATCAAAATTAACTGGAATAACTTTGACTATTCTTGCTACCCATCCACGGAAAGCCCGGTCTGCTTCCACTGCAAAGAAGCCGGACACTTCCGCAACAAATGTCCGCAAATCCAGACGATGGGCCCCTCTCAGAGCACGGCTAACACAGAGCAGAATCCGACGGAAAACTATGAGGACTGCATGGAAGAAAACACCGACGTGACCGAACCAGATTTGACCACTCCTGCCGTACTGAACAACGTTGAATTTCCAGAATTCCCGAAAACCAGGGAAACAGCACAAGAAATGCATATGGAATCTGAACCTGTTTCCATCAAACGCTCCCGTACTTCAGACAAAACTTCTGGACCCGAGGCGGAAAACTCCGAGGATGATAAGGCGCTGAAACGAACGAGGAAAAATGGCACTGTAAGAGAACCACATACCTCGAGCACCAACGGCAGGGCTAGCGAGACAGACGCCGAAGGTTTTGCCACCCCTAAACCCTCAAATAGCAGGAGACGATCCAACTCGGAAACTAAAGGACAAAAGAGGACCCAATTCACTAAAGACTTAATTCATGCTAAAACACCACGTCTTCGGGCACACCTTCAAGTAGCAGGCAGGGAATGGTGTGTCAATTATGAACAATTCGTTGAAATGTTGCTAACATGGCAAAGCGATCGAGAAACCAGTAAAATCAAGGCAGAATTTAGTGACCAAATGAACGATCTTATACTCTTCCTTCGATATATTGGAATACACATTGATGACCTCACAATAAAGATTGCAGTTACGAAATTGGCGAATCGACTTGAAAATGATTCTGAGACTGATACTGGCTCCTCCAGCAGCCAGACAACCAAATAAATAATAAAATGGAAATAAGAACGACCGGTATCAAAACAATGTTCTGGAATGTTCGTGGCCTCCGAAAACACTACCTGGATGTTCTCCTAGCGTCACGAGACAACGATATTATCGTCTGCGTAGAAACCAAGATTGATCCACAGGACACTCGTCCACTGAAATTTCCCGGTTGTCAAACGCACCGAGAAGACAAACAAGTCAACTCTGGAGGTATTGCCTTCATTTACAAAAACCACATCAGAATCAAAACCATTGCCACGGGTCCAGTCATACACCCCGATGTACAAATTGCTGCAATACAAATAGTTAATGTCTCAGATCCAATAACCATCATTGCATGCTACCGAACACCTGGGGCAACTCTCCAACTGGAATATTGGCAGAAAATTACATCAATTACGAGGAAATTTCCACGATCAGTGCTAGTAGGAGACTTTAACGCGCATCACCAGTCGTGGAATTGTGCAAAAAGTGACATCAATGGTGAAAAGTTACTTGAATCTATACAGACCGAAAACTTATTCCTACACAACCCCACAACCAACACACACTTGGACATCTATAGAAATAAGCTCTCTAACTTGGATTTAGTGTTTTCTACTCCTGATATCGCGGATATAGTGACAGTGAACGCTATGATGAAACGTGGGGATCGGACCACTACCCGATATTTATAAGCTTTACAACAGAACGTACTATTTATCACAAACGTTCTTTGAAAATCACATCGGTGAATACAGACTGGGAGAAGTTGGTGGATCTCCTTGAAGAATTATTTCCCCAATACCTAGACCCATGCTTCCTTGACCTAGAACCGTCTCAAAAATATTCTTCATTTATAAAACATATAACACAAACTGTCAAACAATGTACTCCTGTGAGAAAAACTGTACCCCCCAGATTTCATAAAAACCCAGTGATGTGGTGG